TAACCCAGGTTCAAAAATGATCGAATTTAATGGGTGCTCTATTCGATAAAGATAGCTTTACTCTACAATACAGATAGACCACAACGTCAACACTTTTAACACTGATGCATACATAGCCACAATGTGAATTCTTGCTTGATGAATTAAGGTGATATTTTTCGGTGTACTATTGAAATTCTGTTGTTCATCCATTTGTTCACGAATGTTGTTTACATATCAGAGAGTGCAGCCAACAAATAAACAGTAAGAGAAGAGAAAAGAAATATTTCAACTATTTGTTCTATAAACAGTGCCAAGTCTCATACATACAACAAGAAATTATATAACATTTTGATAAAATTACAAATTGTTGTTACATTTTATTAATTATTTGTCTCTGTTGTTTACATCAATAGGGTTCAATGATGTCGGGAAGAAAAGAATGGCCAGAACTGGTAGGACAAACATTCAATACAGCAGCCAGAGCTATTCTAGCATTTGATAGTCGTAAGCTTGATCAATAATTAATAATCTTTTTCTTGCTGAAATCTATTATTTTTGTTATATTTTTTCCGTCACAGGATTAAGACCATATAATGCAAGAAATGGCGTAGAAAATTACATGTATGATCCAGCTCGTGTGTCGTGCGTTACCAATAATAATAATATTGTAATCCAAGTTCCGCATTATACTTATCAAAAATAATTTGAATATTTTATTATTATCCCATTATGCTAGTTTTATGTCTAATAATATACAATTTGGATTTAACGATTATTCTATGACTGGCGACGGGATAGCCTTTGACATACATCGCCCTGAAATATATTCTAGTTATAATAAGTTTTTTTTGTTTAAGTAAAGAAGGATAATAATAAAAGACGAACATAACAAAAAGGAGCAGAAAAAACTCATCTATTGAACCCAGATCATAAAGCATGCCGAGATCCCACAGGACCATGAGGCAGAGTGTTACTGTTGTGTACCAAAGCATGTGCTCTTGTTCAAAGACTAAACCGACTTGATTGCTGTCGACTAAAACTCTTCTAGGTGTCCATCGAAAAACATACTGACTTATCTCTCGAAGAAAAGAAAAGTTCAATCTAAATTTTGTCGGTGACTAGAGTTGATTATGTATATAAAATAGCAAAAGGATTCATGCCATGATGGATGGTGACACCATCCATCACTGCATTTGTTTTGCTCATAACTCTGAAACCAAGCAGCAATGGTACGAATTCCTTTCATTATTTTATATATATATATATAACCAACCATAGCTGCCAAAAAAATGTGAGCTCGAATGGTGTGTATCAGTCGAGAATGTTCTGTTGTGAGTCTTTTTTCGAAAAATCTATATTTTGATATAAAAACCAAGAGTAAATTTAACTTCCCATACGCCATTAAAAATAACACTCTTTAAGTTACAAATATCAGCATAAAACATGTTTGTTTTTCATTTCTCTTCTTATTTAAAAAATTTACAGAAAACAAAACATGCTGTTTCGTACTAGTGAAGTTGCAAGAACTTTTTTTTTTGAAGATGTTTAGTTTTGGGCTTTTTCTCCTCGTGAAGTTAGTTTTGAAAAAATATGTCTCGTACAAACTTTCTAGTTCAAACATTGCTCATTATAACAAAAAAAAATTTCTTGATTTAGAAGTCGGTAATATCGTATAACAGATTTTTACATTGCATATTAGCTACGATGTGCGTGTGAGTGTTAGTATTGAAATTTTCTCTTCATCCATACATTCGACCACATCTACACCCTGAAATATTCGTATCTGACCAAGGAAAGACTACCCAGGTGGATTAAAACGGAGGATGTTACGGTTACGGCGCCGTATTACCTCGTTTTAACACGGGCAGTAATACGGCCGTATTTGTCCGTACAGTATACGGCGAAGTATACGGTCGTTAGCAATTTTTACGGCCGTAAATATAATGCTTTTCTAGTTTCCTCCTGCTCCTGGTTCATTTTTGTTTCCAGATCAAATAATTCGTCTACAAGATCTTGTCAGATTTTTACAAGATCAAATAAATAAAAAAAGACCTCATTTATGTAGTAAAATTAATATTTGCTGACTGAATCATTTGATTATATCTAAATTAAATATATTATTTATTTAAAAATAAATAAATACCTACATTTCAATATATTGTTCATATTTGATCTAAAACAAATATTTATTTTGAAACAATTACTTACATTGAAATATATTGTTCCCGTTCGATCTAAATAAAAAAACTTATTTATTTTGAAATAAATACATACTTACGTTTCAATTTATTGTTTGCATTTGATCTAAATAAAAAATTCATTTACTTTGAAATAAATACTTACATTTTAATATATATTGTTTGTTTTGGTCTAAATAAAAAACTTATTTAATGAAATTTATTTTTTCTTATCGACAATGTCGTTCAGATTAATCTATATAAAAAATTGTTACTATGTAAATTAAATTATCCTGCATCAGTTGTTGAATGTAATTGGTTCGTCAAATGAATTCGATTGATTGTGATGAATATATTAAAGATAACGGGTGTTGCAGAAGTTCCTGGAAAAAATCTTGCTTCATTTTTCATCGGCTGAAGCGTATGTTGGAGAAATCAAAAATACCTATTCAGAATCTACATTGAAAGTGCTTTCTAACTGTATGTTCAAAAACATTCTTACATGTCTTGCCTTTGAGTAAACGACACATTCTGAAATAACACTAAAATATAGTCTATAAAAAACAACTTAGAATGACTGTGGCATTGGAAACCTGTGTTCCATTATTTGTCGAATATCTTCTATGCGCTTCACCATATATTGTTTTTTTTTATTAGGTTCGTCGTTTAATTCTCTACGAACTTGGCAGAAAATACTATGACGTTGCTTAAAGATCGGTTTCCTCTGTCGTAGTCATTGTGGGTTGCTTTTTACGGGCTACATTTTAGTGCTATTTAAGGATATGGTCGTTAATTAAAAGTAAGACATGATAGAACTTTTCTGAACATACAGTTAGAAATCGCTTTCAACATAGATTCTGAATAGAGATTTTTCATTTCTTCAAAACATGTTCTAGCCGATGAAAAATGAAGCGACATTTTTCCAGGAACTTTTGCAACACCCGTTATATTTTCGATTGTAAAAGCGTAGAAATAAAATTAGATTATGTTTCACTGCTGAAGATTGATTCTAATGCATACAAGTAATGCTAACAAATATTTGCATAAAGAAAGCAGAAATTATGATTGCTTAAGATCCTATATGCTGTTAAAAAATTTTGATCCTGAAACGTTGTAAGAGTCATATAAGAAAAATCGTGTAAGACCTTTGTACGTTTTCGTAAGATCATACAAAGCGAACCTCAAGAAATCCGAGTAGCAGTAACATTTCGTAAGATATTATTCGATCTTCCTACAGTTTTGTCCCCTGAAAATTTTCTCTTTCTTTGTAGTTTTCTAAAGCGCAACACAATCTGTCTATGTCACTATAGTGTGTATTTGATTATGTTTTCTACATTCTCCATAGAAACAAAATTTTTTGAATGTTAAGGGTTTTTTACTCGTTGCGACAACTTTGAGAAATACAACTAGAATACATGTCGTTTACGACGACCGTTACACTATCGTTTACTGTGCTCCGTAAACGATCATCTTAAATGTTATCGTATTTCGTCGTTCCTGGATCGTTTACGATTGTTCGTAAACGATCAACCGTTAGGACCTTCGTATTTCACCGTCTTTATATCGTTTACGGCTGTTTACTAGCCGTTTTCTCCGACCTGGGTACTTTCAAAGTCTCAGAGAAAGTATCGAGCACAAATAACAAAAAAAAAAGGTATATTGATCACGAGAAGTCAACACTATTTTGTTTTCGACACATGGGCTTCATAAAGGAACAGTGGACACGCTTACGAGGGAACCTTTGCAAGTGTCCCCTGCTGATTTCAATGAAACTTCGTCCATAGATACTACATAGTGTTCTACTAAAAACCCTAAAAGGGTTTGAGTGCGAATCGCTTCCTTCAAAAGTTATGCCCATTTTACTGAATTTTTGACCCATTCGTAGGTATTCATCGAAAAAATCAAATTATCGAATTTCGACCTGCAATTTTGTCCATAGGCAGATCTACTGATCCTTAGAATATTCTGAAAGTTTCAGC